TGTGCTGGGTCGCTCACAGCACGGCAAGACGGCACTCCTGCCCAGGGGCCAGGAGACGGGGGCCACTGCATTGCCATGTCCTGGGGGCCAGCGGCACCCCGCTGGGGGTGGGGGATCCCACCCGACTGGGACGTACCACTGCGGAGCCTCACTATGGGGCCTTTAAACTTCGGGGCATGCCCCCTCCAGGGGCCCAGCCGCAGGAGAGAGCAGGGCGTCCCGGTACAAACCTCCTTCCCCCCCATGGCTTCAAACATCTTCTCCAACTGGACACGGAGCTGCTGAATGTTGTTCATCAGGATACAGGGCTAGAGGGGGACCGGATGGAGAGGTGGTTAGCGGGGGACGCTTACAGCCTACTGGCTGCGATCACAGCAGTGGGGAACACAGCAACGGCCAGACCTGCTCAGACCCAAGGTCCAGCTCCCCGGGTCCTGTCTCTGATAGTGGCCAGCAGGCATGGTGGGGTAGGCTGCCCCACATCTGATCTCCGAGTCTCTAGTAGTTAGAGCCTGGCTGAAGCCCTGAAGATTCATCATCCACCCCTCAGCCAACACTTGGGCTAGTGTTAACTATGAACCCTCGGGCCCGTGTCTGCATGCCTGAGCCCGGGTGATTTCACTGCCCAGGCGGGTGGGGACCTCCCCCGCTCCTTAGCTCACGTTAGAGATGCGGGGCAGAGAGGTCATAGCGCGGCTGCCCCCCCTGAGGGATCTATAGCCACATTAGCCACCTGGCTAAGTGGCCATATGCCAGAGACACTGAGCCCCCTCAGTGCTCATTGATTTCACTGGGGATTGGGGTGCGCAGCACCTGGAGACCTCGCTGCAGGATTTAGGGGCCCAGCAGAAGGCCTCCAAACTTTGGAGCGAGAGCTGGAGAGTCGGCCGCAGAGCAGGGGGCAGATGGGGATCTCCCAATTCCCAGCGCTGTTGGGGGGGCATGGCTCGGGAATCCTGTCCCAGGGGGGTGAGAAGGTGGAGCGGTCAGCGTGGGAGCGTTTTCCAGAAGAGGTTTCTCAGCCCATGTGACTTGATGGGAGGGAGGAGGGAAGGGGCTCTGGCCTGAGCCAGCAGCTCCATCTCCAGTCACAGGAGCCCCCAAACTCCACATCCCACCTTCATCCAGCTCCCCAGCTACACTGGCTCGCCTTGTGACACTCCCAGGAGAGGCCCGGTGCTCCCCGGTCATGAGAGCAAGGCACCCAGGGCTGGATCTCCCAGCTCTCTGGCCCTGCTTGGAAACCCCAGGCGCTCGCTGGCCGGGGGGCAGGGTCACTGTTCCACCCATTCGTCTAGCCAGCCTGACATTTTAGCCACTGGGCCGAATCCCCCCCGTGCAGAACTCTAGCGAAGCCAATGGAGTTACGCCACGGGGTGAACTTGGCCTGCGGGTGCGAGGATGCAAACTCCCCTAGAGTGTGCAGGTGGGATCGAGCTACCACCCAGCTGGCCTGACAGCGGCGCCTTCAATGCCCCAGAGCCCGCTCTGAGCTGGGGGCGGGTCTGCCAGTTCCATCGGAGTCCATGGAGTGACTCCAGAGTCACCCTGGTACGGCAGAGCACTCTGACCCCCCGGGTCTGACTCCACTCTCCTTTACGCCAGCTTTACATCATGGAACTCAACGGACTCCTACTTTATACCAGCGCCAGTAGGAGAAATGGGCCCCCCCATATCTAGAGATCTCTTTGCCGGATTAAAGAGAGCGTGTCTCATGGGTGAGGAATGGGGCTGCCCCGTGACGCCTTTGTACGCCCGTGCCTGGGCATGAAACGTGACTTGTGGGGGGGTTGGATGGGTGGGTAAGCATGCATCAGTGTGTACCGTGGGCCTGGCTGTGCCCATCCAGCAGGGGGAGCTGTGGCGCTGGGGCCCGGGTGCAGATCTAGAGCTCCCCAGACTCTGGTGGGGTTTGGATAGGATGGGCTTTGGTTCTGCCCATTGGAGAGACAGGTTGCCAAGTTCAGAACCCTGTGTGGATCCAAAGTGTCCCAGGGGTTCGGAGCCAGCCTGGCAGAATCACTCCTGGGAACGGGTGCCCCAGAGCATCCTGCAAATAGCAGAGACGGGGCCTTTCAAGGCAGCCACCGGAGAAGAGAGAGGAGAGGGAGGGTGCAGAGGAGACGGGCGCTAATTGCTTCCGGGAGGTCTGGTGGCATCGGTGGCATGGCGACACCGCGGCAGAGAGTGGCCCCGCCAATCGGAAGGCAAGAGAGCAAGGTAGGAGGAGGGGATACGTCACCACTTTCTCCTTCTCCTTGGAGCAGTACAAAGCAAAATCCTTGGAGATGATCTCGGCGTACTGCAGCAGCACGTTGCTGATGGTCTGCAGGCAGGAGAGGCCAGGCCGGGTCGGGGGCAGAGCAGAGCAGAGCGAGCGAGCGGCAAAGGAAGGCAAGGCAAGAGAAAAGGAAAGGAACGAGACTGTGAAATCCAGATTTGGTCTGAAATAAACTGCCTGAGGATCGCTCTGGGCCGACGAAGCTGCAAACTGAACTCCAGGGAACAAAACGGCCCCGTTGTGTGTCAGTGCTGTGCATAGGTGTGACTGTCGGGGTGGGGGGCATGTCAATGGGGATGCTGCCACCCCCCTATTCCCACTCTTGGCCCCCCACAACTTTCTGTTATACAAGACCTGAATTAACCCCATAAAATCCCATTCCCTGCCCCAGGAGGAGGCGCTGGAGATAGGTGTGGGCAGGAGGCACCTCCTGGAGCTGCCGTTCCTCCCCAGCACCAGCGCTTCAGGTTTCCATGGCTGGCACATGGCACACGGAGGGGCCCTGGGACAGGAGCACATTGCACATCACTTTGGTCCAGCGAGGCGATGTGCTGACATGGGGCAGGCGACGCAGTGCTCAGCTCCCTTCCAGGCTGGGGTCACTCCGTGGAAGTGTGAGTCACCGGAGTCAAGCCTGCAGTGTTTAATTAATCCAGGAGCTAGCGAGCCCGGGGTAACCGCAGGGTTTGCCTGGGTCCAGCAGCCTCAACAAAGAATCCCCTTTAGTTACAATACAGCCCGGTCCTATGCCTTCTCCACCCTGCAGTCCCAGGTGCCCAGCTCTGGTACTGGCCAGGTGAGCAGCATGTCGGCGCCCGGACGATTGAACGGGTGCAGATGCGGCTGCAGCTGAGGCCTGGCTCTGTGTAAGCTGGGACCATTGTCATTCCGGGGTGGGGATCACAGCAGTGTAAACACAAGGTTGGACCCAGCGTGTCCCCTGGCCCCTCACCTTGGCAAACCTCCGCATGTAGTGCCCGACGATCTGCGGGTCGGGGCACTCCAGCTTCTTGATGATCTCAAAGCTCTGGTTCAGCTGGGAGAAGACGTCCACCACGGAGCAGGAGAAGAGAGCGTGCTCAGAGGTTTGCTGGAACTGTGGCAGGAGACAGGGGGAGCAGAGCATAGGAAAGAACAGGTTATTTTCTGGGCTCAGAGCTAGAGCCCAGGGCCTGGGTGATGTGTCACAGACGCAGCTGCTGCGCTGCCTTTACGTTCTGCCTTCATCTGAGCATCTCAAAGCATTTTGCGAAGGCAGGTGAGTATCCCATTGTATAGATGGGGAAACCGAGGCACAGAGCAGGGCTGTGACTGGCCCAAGGTCACACAGGTGTCAGGAGCAAAGTTGGAAATAGAACCCAGGGATCCCTATTCCCAGTTCCCTATTCAGATCAAGGCTTCTCTCTTCATAAAACCGGCTGCCAAGCTTGGCTTCCTCCAAATGGCCAGGCCCTGCACGCTGACGCTACCAGGCTCCTGGCCATGTGCTTGCTGCTGCCTGGTTCCAGTTGGAGGATCAGAAATAACCGGGAGAGAGCCCCTCCTGCAGCATGTCCAGCACTGCCCGGCCCAGCAGGGACCCAGAAGTGCATTCAGGGTGGGAGGGATAGCTCAGTGGTTTGAGCATTGGCCTGCTAAACTCAGGGTTGTGAGTTCAATCCTTGAGGGGGCCACTTAGGGATCTGGGGCAAAAATCAGTACTTGGTCCTGCTAGTGAAGGCAGGGGGCTGGACTTTCAGGGTCCCTTCCAGTTCTAGGAGATAGGATATCTCCAATGAAAAACAGCCAGGGGTGGGGATTAACTGGTCTCTAACCACGCATGGCCTGGGTCCGACTCCTGTTCTGGGGGATGGCCTCGGTCAGTTCTCTCGAAGTTTCCCTCTCCAGCTGTCACTGGCTTTGCCAAGGTGCCTGTTCCATGGCACCGGCGGGGGTAGGTTGGCTGGTTTCCCGCCCCACGGGGCAGAGGGGCTCTGGTGCCGGTGGGTGAATATGGCTGTTTTTAAGGCAGCTCAGGTACTGACATACACGTGCCCCCCCTCGTTCCCACGGGGAGGTGGAGCCCCAGCCTGCAAGGGCTGTCCTGACAGACGGCTACATTCGGAGGGCTGGACGCTCTGCTCGCTCCCCCCGAGGGAAACCCCAGTGCACTACACCCGCGGGAGGGGAGAACCAGGCTCCTAGAATGGCGACTCAACGCCTGGGCTAGACTCGAGCCCACCCCCCGGGGGGCGGACATCCCTCCGGGTCACTTTTCGGCTGTATACCCTACCCCGTCCTTCTTGTCCCGCTCCAGCGCTCCATGCAGGAAATCCCGGGACACCTCCTCGTTTTCATCCAGCCACTGGATAACAAAAGGCTCAAACCAGCTGGAAGAGAAAGAGACGGGGAGATGGGGCAGCGGGAGAGGGGCTCACGTCCCTGCTGTTTGGAATAACACTCCAACAAGCTCACGAGAGGGAAGGGGAAAGAGGTCGGTTTGATGCGCTATGCGGTCTGCACTCGGCATCTGGCCCACACAGACCACACGGCAGAGGGGTTCCCAGCCAGCGTCTGCCCTCTGTTATCCATTTACTCCACTGGCTTCCAATCCATCGGGCCGGCTTCTCCTCTTCCACCCATGATCCCACTGAGCCCAGGTCTGCCCTCCCCGGGATAACGCGGGGCAGCTCCACTGCGGGCCACGGGGACTGCGCTCACGTGGGCAGAAAGACAGTTGTGCCCAGTGGCGTCTCTGGAGCTGTTCCTGATTTACACCGGGGACAATGAGAGGGGAATCCGGCCCGTGTCCCATCACTCTGATTCAGCACCTCTGACAATCCGGCCTCCCGCATTCGACCCTGGGCCTGCTCACCCCGCTCTGCCCACAGAACGCTGCGTGGGCCTAGTGCTGCTGCCTGGTCCTCCTTGCATGGGGTCAAAATCAGAAATCAGAATCCATCTCCTGAAGCACACCTGGCGCCTGGCCTCGGTCCCTTCCCAAAGCGCACTGAGACACACCTCGGCTCTGCTACAGAGGTGGGAGCCCCAGCTCCCTTGGGAGGCAGCTTCTGGGGCCAGGCGCTCCCCTGCCCCCTCTGAACAGGCACGTGGGCTTGGAAGACACTCTTAACCCCTGCTCGCAAGCCCCGTCAGCGGGAAACAGACAGTAGCCGGGCTGGCCACTCAGTGCCGCGGTCACCTAGGGAAGGACAAGTCCTGGCCCCCCGTGTGTATGGAGTTTTGTCTGTCTCCCAGGCCCCCGGAGCGCTAAGGAACCCACGTGCTGAGGACATCAAGCCTTTCGCTGCTGGAGTGAAATACTAGCGTAGCACTGACCCACTGGGAGATCAACCGGAGCATGAAGCTTCCTGACTGTCCCCCTGAGCACGCCTGCGGAGCCTTATCAGCGGATAACTAAGAGAGCCTCGTTCGGAGCCCGGCTGGGAGTGGGTGCCAGAGGGGAAGCCGGTCCCCAGGATCCCAGAGGAGGTGGGTGTTGGTTTTCTGTCTTCCCTTCCGGCTGAGCTGCAGATCACAAACCCACCAGAGCAGGCAGGAGAGTGAGATGCAGGCCCGGCGTTTAATTACAGCCATTGAGCCCTCGGGCCCCTGCATTTCCCGCTGACGGGAGGGAGCCTGCTGGGACTGGGTAACACCCGGAGCACAGTCAGAAAGGCTGAAAGAGCGCCGGGAACACACGGCAGCAGCCCAGAAACCGGCCGGCTCTGGACTTGCCAAGCACAAGGTGATAAACGCTTCTGGTGCCTGCTCAGCCCCAGGGTGACCCGCCCGCGATGCTAGATGTGTGTTTGGGGGGCCAGCCCTTCCCACCACTCCTGCGATCCGCGGAGCGCAGGCATGTCGCCTCAAGCTAATTCCAGCTCCTGCTCCGAGCGCAGCCGGACCCTTAGTGGGGAGGAAGGAGGGCGAGGAAGGGAAGGGGAGCGAGCAAATGGAGGGGTGAAGAGCAGAAGGGAGGAGGTCGGTATGACAGAGGCACAGGGTGGTAAGATCCTGCTCCTCCCTCCTTCCTCTCCCCCCCACTGACTGCAAGGGGAGAGGACACCCAGTGTTAGACGTGCGTGGGGTGACTGTATTTCCCAAAGTGAAAAGAGGACGTGTGGTCACCCTAGATGTGCGCCTTGCCCAATGCCTCAATCCAACTGCCTCCCCCCCCGGAGTGCTGAGTGGCGCTGCAGAGGCCTGAGTCGCCCCCGCCTGGCACCCGGGGGTGTGCAAATGCAGCAGAGCGGAGCGTAAATGGCCACAGGAGAGGCTGGGCAGCAGAGAACCAGCCCCCGACTGCACCGCGCTCCCAGTGCCTGGGAACACACGGCAGACACTGTTGCAACCAATGTTCTGTCTTACACCCTTGTGACTTTCTTCATGAGTCCCTGAGACTTGGCCAGGCCGAAGAGCAGCTGCTAGCGTGAAGGGCACCGGCTCTGAGCCGGGGGTGCGCCCGGCTCCTTGGATTCTTCCTCCTGCTTTTAACTCCAAGGGGTCGTTCGGGAGTCCCCGGCCCCTGACCCGTCCCTGTCAGCCCCCTCCCGCTAGCTGGCCGGCCCCCTGCAGCGCCAGGACTTACGCGGGGTATTCGGGGACACGGCTCTTGAAGGCAGGGAGCTCGGTCACATACTCGTTATAAAGCCATTTCACTTTGAAGTGCAGGTTCATGTAGTCAGCACTTTTACACAGGCGATGCTTGTCATGCTCTGCAGAGGAGGGGAGAGAGGGAGGTCATAGGGGTCACCCCCCCCGCTGCTCATCCGCCCTCGGGCTGAATCCCAAAGCTCTGGCGCAGGCTAAGCTCCCCGGGACCCATCCCGAGAGGTGCGGGCCAGGCTCAGTGCCTGGAAGGAGGGAGGTCAGGGGGCTCGGTGCAGCGGGAGCTGTGCTAGGGACTCGGGGGGTGGGGGCACTCCCAGGCTGGAAATCCCCCTGCCCCACAGGCTGCCAGCCTGGGCACAGCGGAGAGCGGCCATTGGCCAACAGGCCGGCAGGGAGCCACAGACTCACTCCGGTTCCTTCCCAGGGTGGAGTTCGACCCAGCGCTGTGCTCCTGGAGGGGCTAGAACAGCTGCCCCCAGCCTGTGAGCGGGGGAGTCACCGCCCAGCGAGAGATGGGAGGGGCTCACCACCTGCCCGGCGCATTGGGGGAAGGGGAAGAGGCCACAGTGCAGTGAGGACTGCGCAGCTGAGAGAAGAGAGGCCTGAGGGGAGGGGGGGATATGACAGGGCTACGAAATCATGAATGGTGCAGAGAAAGTGACTAGGGAAGTGTGTTTACCTTTCGCACAATACAAAAACCAGGGGTCGCCTGAGGACATTAGTAGGCAGTGGGTTTCGTATAAACAAGAGGGAGGTACCTTTTCACACAGTGCACGATTAACCTGTGGAACTCATTGCCAGGGGACGTTGTGAAGGCCAAAAGTATGACTGGGCTCAAAACAGAACTGGGTAAGTTCCTGGAGGATAGATCCATCAATGGCTATTAGCCAAGATGGTCAGGGACGCAACCCCATGCTCGGGGCGACCCCAAACCTCTGACTGCCAGAAGTCGAGAGGGGAAGATGGGGTAGATCATTCCAACTGCCCTACTCTGTACACTCCCCTGAAAACTCTGGTACAGGCCACTGTGGGAGACAGGATACTGGACAAGATGGCCCATGGTCTGCCCCAGTCTGGCAGCTCTGCTGTTCTTATGATCATGGTCTATAAGGCCCAGATCTGCCAAGGTATTTCCACTGGAGTCAATGGATGGTAGGAGCGAGGACGTGGGCTAAGCACCTAACTGGGGAAAGAGATCTGACGGCAGGGGCCCTTTCAGCTAGTGGATAAAGGCCCGAGCCTAACGAAGCCCGATGGCTGGAGGATGAGGCTAGGAAAACACAGACTGGAAACAAGGGGCAAATTCTTAACAGGAAGAAGCAGCTTCCCCAGCTACCATCATCAGCTCTTGGGGTCTTTAAATCGAGCCTGGGTGCCTTTCTGAAGCTGTTCTGAGGTTCAGCCGTGGGTTTGGTAGGATCACTGGATGGAAGAGGGCAGAGTGAGTCGACAGTGTGCCCTTGTTGCCAAGAAGGCTAACGGCATTTTGGGCTGTATAAGTAGGGGCATTGCCAGCAGATCGAGGAACGTGATCGTTCCCCTCTATTCGACATTGGTGAGGCCTCATCTGGAGTACTGTGTCCAGTTTTGGGCCCCACACTACAAGAAGGATTTGGAAAAATTGGAAAGAGTCCAGCGGAGGGCAACAAAAATGATTAGGGGGCTGGAGCACATGACTTATGAGGAGAGGCTGAGGGAACTGGGATTGTTTAGTCTGCAGAAGAGAAGAGTGAGGGGGGATTAGATAGCAGCCATCAACTACCTGAAGGGGGGATCCAAAGAGGATGGAGCTCGGCTGTTCTCAGTGGTGGCAGATGACAGAACAAGGAGCAATGGTCTCATGGGGGAGGTTTAGGTTGGATATTAGGAAACACTATTTCACTAGGAGGGTGGTGAAGCACTGGAATGGGTTCCCTAGGGAGGTGGTGGGATCTTCTTCCTTAGAGGTTTTTAAGGCCCGGCTTGACAAAGCCCTGGGTGGGATGATTTAGTTGGGGTTGGTCCTGCTTTGAGCAGGGGGTTGGACTAGATTCCTCCGGAGGTCTCTTCCAGCCGGATATTCTATGATTCTATGAACAGCCGCTCCACTGCAGGAATCCCTGGGGAAGGCTCTGCAGGAGGTCGGACTAGATGACTTGGACTCCATAAAGGCTAAGGCACCTTAGCTAGCCAGTGACTGGCTGCCCTGGTGTTTGCCTGATGCACAGGTCTCCACGCAGGAGAGGAGCCGGGGACGGGGGCTTGGCCCACCCTGAGCAGTGGGTTAATGTTACTATTTTCCAAACTGAAATCATTGCAACCAGTGCAGAGAGGGAAACACGGCTGCGTTTCCCCCGGGAAGAGGCTGGGACCATTCTCCACCCCTGACCCACAGCCAGCATCATGGTGGATGCCGCTTCTTCCCAACGCCCCTTTCTCTGGTGGGTCTTGTCGTGCGTTAGCGGAGTGTGTACGTGCAGCGCTGCCCTTTGCTGGGTGCATCCGGAGCGGCTCCGCTGGCGTCCTGGGACGGTGCTGTTAGCAGAGACTCTCCGTTAGCTCGGAGAGCAGGGGAACGCGCCGCGTCCCGTCCCCATAGCGACGGCCGCACAGATCTGCAGCACGGGGACCGCGGTGGAGTTGGGGGTTGCCGGGGCTTTGGTTCGGTGAAACGGAGGCTGATCCTCCATCACCTGCCAGCGGGAGGCAGAGGAGCGACAAGATGCAGCCCTGCTCTCCATGTATCAGTATCTAATGCCTGCATCTGTAACTTTCACTCTATGCATCCGAAGAAGTGAGGTTTTTACCCACGAAAGCTTATGCCCAAATAAATCTGTTAGTCTTTAAGGTGCCACCAGACCCCTTGTTGTTTTTGTAGATACAGACTAACACGGCTACCCCCTGACACTTGAGCCCAGGAGAGACTCACCTTCCATTGCATATTTCATGTCCTGAGCAAAGAGGTTCCACATCACCTCGGCGCTGATCTTACCCACGTTCAGCTCCTGGGGGAACCTGGCAGGAAGGGAGGAAAAATGGATGAATCCAACAGCTACAGAATAAATCCCCAAACCAACGACTTCCGACTGAGAGGGACGGTCTCCCCGGTGCCCCCACGGCACAGTGCAGACCCAGGAACAGCCGCACTCACATGGGCCACCCAGGGCTTTTCCCAGGAGGCTCCACGCTTCTCCACTCAGCTCCCACCAGGCAGGAGACGGGCAGGTGACAGGAATCCCAAGCGAGGGACAAGTCCAGAACTGCCCATGGAGGCCGGTACTCACTGGTTCAGGCAGGGCGTATAGGAGTTCTTATCCTCTTCAATAATCGAAACAATCAGCGTGATGAGTTTGGACCAGAAATCCAGGTTCTTGATGCTCGGCCCCTGCTCCTCGGGGGGGACCTCGCCTTTCTTTGTCTGGGAAAAGCCCAAAGACAAGGGGAGGAACGTCTCGGGTTAATCGCGTGTGGGAATGCAGGGATTGCTGTCCCATGGGGCACAACCTCGGTTTGGTTTCCAGACGCTGAGATTTTCCTTTGGCTTGGAAATCAGCGATGGCTGTGACCTGCTAGGTCCTTTCCAGCCCATCCTCTTGGGACCAGGACAGGGCGGCTCTGACCCAGGCACAGAACCAGGCTGGGGTCCAGTCTAGGGTCAGGCTCCCCGGAGGCGCACATCTCTGCACACCTCCCCCTGGTCCCATATGGGAAACCTGGAGACTCGGGCCCCGTTCTACAACAAGCGGCTTTTCTGGGAGAGGTGATCCCAGCCGGCCAACAGGCACTCCTGGAGCCTCCTGTCCCGTGCCTCGCCTGATCCTTAAATGGGGTGACGCTCCACCGAGCCAAGGGGGGCTGCAGAGCTCCCCAGCGTGTGGGCCCCAGAGTCAGACGCTAGCTCTGGATCCAAACGAACGGGGAAAGTGCTTAGCGTCAATGGAGACAGGGATAGGGAGGGTGAGATTCACTATAGGGCTCCTGGGTGTGAGAAAGGAAGAAAGAGCGATCCAAAGGGAGGATCAAAGAGAAGGGAGGAATGGGGAAGGGAAAGGGATGCAGAATGAAGGGGGGAGAAGAAAGGCTGGGCGAGCAGTGGGGGCCCCATGCCGAACGGCGCTCGCTCTGGGTCCAGTCCTGCCAGCCTGTGATGGGCCATGTCCCCATCCCAATCAGGAGAGGGCGGACAGCTCCTCTGGGCCGAGTCCCCACCCAAGAGCCAGCCGGCGGAGCCTGGTCCAGCGGGAAGAAGCCGGTTACGGGAAGCGGGGACAGCTCCGAGGAAAGCTGCCGCAACAGGGAACTAGGAGCTGAGATTCTCGCTACCCAGAAGCTGAGAGGCTCTGCCCCGGGCAAAGGCTGATCTGGAAGTGCCCGAGGGTGCCCCCCACCCCCCGAAAGGCCCTGCCTGCCCCACGGCGGGGAGGGCGGCCAGGCGGGGCTCCGCCCCCTGCCCCACGTACCGGGTCAGTCTGGTACTCGCGGCTGTACAGCTCGTGACAGTTGTTGAAGATGTACTCGTAGGTGGAGTTGAGGCAGGCTTTCACGCAGTCCTTCACCACCTGGCTGGCCCGGGGCGGGCTCTGCAGCTCCTGCACCTGTGGGAGGGGGAAGGGAGACACGGTCACGCTTTGCCACGGCCGCCACCCGAGACGGCCTCGCTGCCTGGAAAAGAAAACCCACGTCGCCGGGAGCTCAGGCAGTGCCAGGCGTTGGCTCTTGACTGCCAGGGGAGGGACACCAGACAGCAGGTGTCACTAGGGAAGCTGCCATGGGATGCATCACAGGCCGCCCGAGTCACACAAGGAGCCTCAGTCAGTGCCCACGTCCCTAGTGCCAGCCCTGGGCTGCCTGCCCGGAGCAGGACGCCCCCCGGGGTGAGAAATCCCACTCCTTCTGAGCCGGCAAGGCAGAGCCCTGGCATGGGGCTGCTGTCACTTCCAGGATCTCTAGATGCCATTCGACAGAAGCGCTGTTATTACCAGTGAACTCCATGGTGGTTCGTGTTGGATTTCAGTACACAGGATGGGCAATTAATTAAGCTAATTAATATGCGGCACAGTTCCTCAGCTGCATTCTGGAAGCAGAGGGATCCCAGGCCAAGTGGCTGCTCCTTTGGGAGCTGGGGGATCTCTCCCTCGGAGAGGGAACCAGCCGGCAGACACTGGGCGTTACCTTCATTCGGAAGAAGGTGATGCTAGTTAACAGATCCACCGTCGACTTGAGATCCTGCAGCCTCTCCGGGCTGCTGGCAGGGAAGTTGTTCTGTCAGGAAAGAGAGAAGATTAGAGGGCCACATGACGGCTAGGAGAGCAAGCAGGGGGTCCCCTGGTTGAAGTTTCAGAGCTAACGGGTGGTCTGATCAATACCAATCCTGCTCCCACTGAAACCAGTGGCAAACCTCCCATTTACATCCACAGCTCTCCAAGCTGAGCAGCGCTGCTCCCATAGCTGGGGAAACTGAGGCACAGAATGACTCACCCAAGGTCAGTAGCAGACACCAGGCCTAGAATCCAGTTTCCTGAATCCCCCTCCAGCACCTCATCCACTGGACCAGCCTGAGCCCTGGACAGGCTCTAGCCTGGCGTCAGGAGACTCCTCGCACAAGGGACTCGGCTGCAGGTGACTAGGGAGCAGCTCTGAAGCCCGTTTCAAAGGCTGCCGGCGTTCATCCCCGTCCCCACCCCGTGTGGGGCTGGTTCCCCTTACCCGGTACATGGACAGGTCAATCCGGAGCGAGTTGTGCAGCTGGTCCAGCAGCTTGACGAAACGTTCTTTCTGCAAAGACACGCCAGGTAAATGGGAGAACGGCGACCAAAGCCCATTTCCCCACCTCCCCAGCTCAGCCGTTTCCAGACCGGCCCCCTCTGTCCCTTGGCAGCTACCCCCTGCGGGCGGCGGGGTGTGTGTCAGCAGAGCCGTGCTGGGTGAGGGGAGCGCGTTTACTGACGCTAGCTACCATCTCTCTGTTACACTTAGCAGGAAGGTTCAGAAACAAACGTAAACTCAGGAGCAAACTGTAGTGCAGTGAGCAGCTTAATCCTAGCCGGGTGATGCTGGGATGGGAGCTGGAGAGCCAGAGAGAACCACAGGATCTGTCTGAGTCCAGAAGCTTCAGTCAAGAAGCCCCTTGAGATCCAGTGCAGGGGAGTCCGAGCTCTCCTCTACTACGAGCCGGATTCGCTGGTACATAATCGTAAACTGGCCTATAAAATGGGCGCCACATTTCAGGAAGGATGTGGACAAACTGGAGAAAGTCCAGAGAAGAGCGACAAAAATGACGAAAGGTCTAGAAAACATGACCTGGGAGGGGAGATGGAAAAAACTGGGTTTGTTTAGTCTGGAGAAGAGAAGACAGAGGGGGGACATGAGAACAGTTTTCAAGTACGTAAAAGGGTGTTACAAGGAGGAGGGAGAAAAATGGTTCTTCTTAACCTCTGAGGATAGGACAAGAAGCAATGGGCTTAAATTGCAGCAAGGGAGGTTTAGGTTGGACATTAGGCAAAGCTTCCTAACTGTCAGGGTGGCTAAGCACTGGAATAAATTGCCTAGGGAGGTTGTGAATCTCCATCATTGGGGATTTTAAGAGCAGGTTGGACAAACACCTGTCAGCGATGGTCTAGATAATACAGAGCCCTTCCTTGAGTGCAGGGGCCTGGACTAGATGACCTCGCGAGGCCCCTGCCAGTTCTATGATGCCACCTTAAAAGGGCCCGAAGTCCTTGCTCAGTGAGGACAACGGGAACTTTGCCAGAATAAACCCGAATGGCTGGAATCTGGTCTCATTTACACGGCTATAAATCTAGAGTAACTCCACTGAGTTTCCTGGAGTCACTCTGGGTTTACCCCACAGGAGGGAGAGCCCTAAGTCAGGGCGTTCAGCCTGAGGGCTTGGGCCCCATCAGCACTCACTAAATAATGAATACTAATAACTAATAATCGTAAGTAAGTAAACGTTCCACTGGCCGGCAGCCAGGCTGGGAAAGGGACTGAGCCTGGACACGGTCTGCCAGGCTGGTTTCCTTAGGGTTACCATACGTCCGGATTTTCTCGGACATGTCCGGCTTTTTGGGCCTCAAACCCCGTCCGGGGGGAATTGCCAAAAAAGCCGAACATGTCCGGGAAAATACTCCCAGCTTTGTTTTGCCGGCATCCCTGCCCC